TCTCTGGTGTTAGCTACAAGGATCTCTGTAAGACTAGTCCAAAAGCAAAAGTGGTGGAGGCAGAATCTCTGGGTTGGGTGAGGAGGCAGTAGCTGGCTGATTGCTTTCTTATTTTCCTCCTTTTGTAACAATTTCGTTCCCAAAGCAATTGGTTCCTAACACTGATGATCCAAAAGCTATTGTGGACACTTGAATTCTTAACGAAGTAAACAACAAACAAGTTGGCTTAGCCCTGCCCCCCCAGCTAACATCCCAAACCAGATATCATGAAAGGTGTGAAGAAGCAAACAAGGAAGTAATGGGCCTGCAAAGTCGAGGTTCCGAGAAATCAGGGGGCATCGTGCACTTAACTGTTAAAATTTATTACTCATCATCTTCTATACCAGAAGGATATGGAGCTACATGTTGATGTCCTGTGTGTTATGATTTTATGGCCACAACCCCCTCCTCTATGCCCTGCATTCTTGTTCTTGGGTCTTTTTCCTTCCCATTGCTAGATAGCTAATTTAAGACAATTACTGACTGTGAAACCTCCACCTACCCACTTGCCCTCAGGCCATCCCCCTCCTTTTAACTCTTGAAAGCCATTGATCTACAAAGGTCCTCTAGCCTTAAAATATACTGAGAGTGAACCCTAAAACACCCTATACTCACAAAATTTGAAACAAAACAAAACAAAACAAAAACAAAGCATAGGCTGCCAATAGGGCTATTCTTCCTCCTCTTCTTCCTCATTTATTACTGTTGTTATTACTACTACGATTACTAGTGGTAATATTACATTAAAATGCCCCCAAAGAACAAAAGCCCCCATTTTAATTCAAACTCGATCTCTCGATAGAGTGTGCACTTTTTAGCGCACAAACATAGTTCAGGATTTTGCACAGTTGTAGCTCCTCAAGTGGTTGGTAAAGAAAGTGACTGGCTTCTAATTGAAGTCTGCAGAGCCTCAATAGCTTTTTGGATAAATATTTGAAAATCCATACTTTTTCTAGTAAAAGAACCCTTGGAATTAATAAAGAAAATAAAGTGATTAAGAAGAGCAGCCTATTTCTGTTACCTTTCCATATACGTACAGGGAAATGTTTACATACATCAGGTTAACACCAAGTAAGGAAAAGCGAAGACAGATGCAAGAATTCACAAACCCACGCTGATACCATTCTCCCACACCGCTCAAATGCGTGAAGGATTGGATAGTCAGTAACGTAAGGTTGACGTTACTTTCTTCCAAAGGGGAGTTGACCAACTCTGCCGACAACCCACCAACTGAAAGCTAGAAGCCTGAGACCGCTCCTGTCCCTTCTTACCCGCCAATGACATTGGGAAAAATACTGCATTGCAGCATTTGTCAGCACATACTTATATGTCTAGCAGTCACTGGTTAGCTCACCAAAAAAAAAAAAAAAGTACATATTAAATGTCCAAACATGTAAATTAAGTGTCTGGTAGCCACAGAACACTAGAACTGATGATGAAATTTGTCAAGGCTGAAGTATTTCTCTCCACATATAATGACCTCTATCAAGAAAACCCGCCATTCCTTACTTGTGGCACACAAAGATAATTTGTTTTTTTTCTTCCTCTATTTTTGTTTTTGATTAAAATACGGTATTAAAGGACTGAGGGCTAAATGAAGCAGAATGTCTCTTTATAGATGGAACAGTATTTTGCCTAGGAAGAGAATTCAGCCACAAAAAGGAGATAAGTGCAGAGAGAAGAGCCCAAAGCAAAGCAAAGCAAAGAATTTGCCCTGAGGAAACCCTTTCATTGTTCATAGTAACTCTAACTTATCAGAAAACCTCAGTTCATCCACAAATCCTTTTAGAGACAATGAACACACACACACACACACACACACACACACACACACACAGTACCATTCATGCAATGATTTTAGATTTGAAACTTTAAACCATTATTCCTAATAGAAACCCTAAATTTAAAATATCTGAAGTCTAACATATCTCAAACATTCTTAATGAGACTGAATTTGGAACTAAAATACAGATGCACTATCATTTTATTTCTCTTTTTTGAAAAAATAATTTGGACAGTACTACTTCAAAATAGCCTGGTCTTGTTTTCATAACAAAATCCACATATTAAAAGAAACAAGAAAGATCTATAGCAGAATATGAAAAGTTTTGAGGCTTTGTGCAAACCATGAACCATAAGCAAGCCCATCTTAGTCTTGTTAGGAGGATGGCTTGAGTAAATGGTGCTTAGGAATGAATGGGACTAAGGCCCAAATCAATGCCTAAGTTTTTAAAAATGAGATTAAAATCAGTGTAAAATCAACGATTCTCAACGTAATTTCTTTACTACTCTCCCATCTTTGCTCATTTAACTCCTTCAAAAATAGTAAATGACAACTGATTTAATCAATGCATTGGTATGAAACACAGAGACAATCTGAAACTGCGACATAGTCAATGCTTTTAGCAGCGACATTTCCATCCAGATTTTCACTTCTTAGTAAATGCACATCTGGCCTTGCGCTTCCATCAAGGCACACCTCCATACATAGGTAATAGGCATTAAAAAATTTTAAGACAAAGAAGCAAGAAAGGTCAGCAGCAGAGCTGTGTCTTTTTTTTTTTTTTTTCACAACCAAGCCAAGGTGACAGGTTTTATAGAAACAATTTTCCTTAACTAAAACCTGTCAGAAAATTTTCATAAAATAAAAATAAAACTTTATTAGTAATAATAAAAAAACTATTCCATTTTTATAGATGATACATGTCTATGCATTAAAGATAGGAAAGTAAGGTTCAAGCATGGGACAAAAATATAAGTTTATTTTTTTACCTTAAGTGTAAAACCAAAATAATACACCCCCCCAATCGGAACACAAAACAAAAAAGAACATTTTCACAGAGAAAAAAATTGGTGGGGGCTGGTGGTAGAGATTTCTAATGGAGAGAAAATAAATTAACAGGATTTTCAATAAAGGCAATTATATTTTCCATCCTTGCAATACATTTCAGTTTTTAATCTTTCATTTCGGGGCTTCATATTAGCTATCCGATTATGTATCTCTAGTGTCTCCAGGATAAAACCACAACTGGTGACTATTTCAGGCTTTGCCAATGCTACTCCTATTCACTCAAGTACTCTCTCTGTTAGCCCTTCTTGGTACCCACCATCCCTGGGAAAACGACACTACTTAGACAAACACCAGAGTGAGATAAGGGAGAGAGAGATGCCTGCCATCCAGCAAGCATGAGTCCCATCACACGTCCAGTCCAGAGACATTTAAAAAAGATCACCTTTTCACTCAGTTTATGCCAACACCAGACCCAAGATCAGGTGCATCCACAAGGGGAAGGCGTGGAAGTATTCTGTGGCTAGAGGAAGGGGCAGTCTAGGAAAGGGCCCTTCAGTTCTGTTCTAAAGACATTTATACTCGGGATGTGAAATGAGAGATACAATGAACTCCTCGAAACTACAATACCAGCATTTACTGTAGTAAAAATGCTGCTATCACCTAACACAAAAATCATAGCCTAGCATGGATCTAATCTACTTATATTTTTGCTATGAATATTTGCTGTAAATTTTGGAGAAATCAATTGCAGAACCTATCAGCGGTGGGAATTCACTATTATGCTTCCATCAACTTCATTCCATATAATTTACATTTTTTTTTTCAAATGGTCTCACAAGATTCCTTGCAAATTTTTTGCATGTATAATTTCACAGCAGGAAAAGGGGGAAGGAGATGGAGGGAGGGAGAGAGGGAGAGACAGAGAGAGAGAAAGAGAGAGAGGAAAGGAGGAAGGGAAAGAAAGAGAGAGACCCTATTCTCCCTTCCCCCTCTTCCTTTTTTAAACAAACAAACAAAAAGAGGAGAGACTGAACAGATGCTTAAAAATAGATCTCAAAAAATCACTGTAAGCCAGAGTTAGAAATGTAATTAACACCTATTTATGAAGAATAATTAAAGTTGGGGTAGCCACAAAGAACAGCAGAGATAATCGCGGTCCTGTCCCCCTCCTCCCTTTTTACACTGTTTGCAGTGTGTTCTCATGATAGCCACCTGCTCCCTGCTCGGCTTCTCCTCTGTTCGTTTCCCCGGCAACCTTTCATTGGGTTTTCCTCCCAGCTATCGCTTTCAGTTGGGCTGCTCGGTCTAATCTTATTTGTTTTACACCCATCAAAACAAGCAGCCAGACAAAGGCAATCCTCTAAGAATGGGAAAGAGACCACAGCTTTGTTATACCAACTATGCAGAGTGAAAAGTCCTCCCCAGGCTTCTCCAGTTTAAAAAAAATATGAATTTAGAGCTCTTCCCACTACTCAGCCTCAAATCCCCCGAAAGCTATTGCTGGTGGAAATTCAAAGTCAAAGTGGGCACTCGTGGCATCTATTTGTGCCATTTTGTGCCATATCTTTAGGGTCAACACCAGGAGACAGGAGCAGCACTCAAGGAGTTTCCCTGTTTCCTTTTCCAGAAAAAGACGATGCTAAAAATAGATTTACTACTTCGGCAGAAAGGTTTTCCACTTCCCATCCACATCTCAAAGTCCTGTTTCACAATTGCATCTGCTGGTACTGAATCTCACCCCCTCCACCCCTCATTCCCAGCCTTCCCCATCACTCCTAGCATGAGCCTGAAAAAGAAATGTGCCTTTAACTTTAACAGTCGTGTAATTCGGCTGAAGGCTCACACAGGCGGTGGACACGCCAGCCAGCAGTGACAGTGACATTGTGATTGTCAAAAAAAGACACCAACCTTGCTTATCTAAAATGTGTTTGATGGAAAAGGCAGTATATGCCTTGTGTGCATGCAATGCCATTATACTTGGAGGCAGATTCTGAATTTCAGAAAAAGAAATACACACAGATACACGCACACTCACACACACATCAGAGCAGTATTTTACGATACAGTCCACCATCCTTACACACACACACACACACACATACACACACACACACACACACACACACACACTCTGCTGGAACCTCCAAGCTGCCTTCCTCTTTCCACTTACCATCTTCAAGCCATTCCACTCCATCTGTGTTCAGAAGATGGACCCTCACACAGTGTGTCAAAAGCAGAAAGGAGCGTTATGTAAAAGCTGACATTCCCTTCTTACAGATCTGCTGCCCAGAGAAGGAAGCAACAACTCAACACGCCAGGAACTGCTACACATACAAGCCGCCTCCTCTTTTTATGAGGTCATGACAGGAAACTCTTTGAAATACAAGATGCAGCGTTTACTGGAGCCCAAATAAATCACTCTCTTTGCCGTTTTGACTGCGCAGTCCCCCGAAACACAACTGCCCATCTCAGCGTTCAGCACCCAGGCGCTGCCTCCGGAGATTCACATTTCCAGCACACAAATGGAGAGCTTCCTAACCCTGCTGCATCTACCCATGTCCCAGAAAACCCCGGCATGTAGACAAACCTCTCCTCTCTCACAAAAAGCAACCCCCTTCCACCCCCTCACAATGGTCTCAAGTAATAGAATCTCTTTCAACAAACCAGCAATTACTCCAGCCCATCCCCACCCTCCGCTTTTATGTGGAAGGGAAAACTGACAATGACCTGTTAAAAATGACAATCTCTCTCCCCACTGCTTTTCAATAAAAGGACCTACCCGCACGCTACACAAAAGATAGAGTAAACGTAGGAACCAAACAGCAGCCGAGAACTAAACTCTAGTGCAAGCATTAAGACTGGCCAAGGTGTAGATGCTTGTTCTCCCTTCAGCAACACGAACAACAGATTATAGATCTAGTCATACCTACCATAACCATTCTTATTGGCAAATATTGGGTCTCGCAGCGCTTCGACTCTTCTCTTAGAATTTGCAAAGCTTTCAGAATATACTTAAAAATGACTACTGTTGTTATGTATATATATATATTTAAGATCCACAGAACGCAGTGTGGATGACTGTAAAGTAAATCAATTATTGGGAGGGGGTGGGGTGGAAAAGAAAGGGGGAAAAAGAGAGAGAGAGAGAAAGAAAGGCGCAGTGAGCTGAAACCCCTGATTCTAGGATGTAGATAAGAACAACTGAACAGAGCCTTGCTGAAATTGGCTCGAAGCTTCCCCTTTTTACATCCATTTATGGGACCATCTGTCAGCTGAAGCCACACTCTCATTGGCTGGGGAAACGAAGGGAGGCGTTGCAACATCAGGTGCTATTTAAATTAGCTACTGCCAGATTGACGATGTTAATGATCCGGTGACCTCTACAACAACAGAGACCAGATTTCTGAACTGCTTCTTGTGTCTGGTAATTAAAGCCCGGCTGAAGCAACAACAGCCATACTTGTATTTTTTTACCTTTTACCTCTTTCCAGCTCAAAAAGTACTGTCACAACTGCAGGTCATTGGAGGACTGCAAACCTCCACAGTGGGGGAGTGTCCTCCCTTTCTGGGTCCTGGGGGATATAGGAGCCCCAGCCCTTCCAAAGAGGGCTTTTACAGTGGAGAATATTTTCAACCACCTTATCTTTCTTGACAGTTGCTTTCTAGCGAAATGCATATTTAATGATCTGCCTCTAGGCTTAAAGATACAACAAAAGCACTTTAATGTGCTAATAATTCTACATTTTAACTTTATTATTTCCCAGTATTGCTGGTTTTCTGTAAATGGTGCTTCTTTTTGCCGCTAACATGACCAGCATTTCAAAAGCATGCAAGTTTGGGATTAAGCTTGCTGGCTGGGTGAATTGGATTCACATACCTTTGCCTCAAAAAAAAAACTATTTCTTAATAGTTAAGAAAGAAAGAAAGAAAGAAAAGAAGTGAGGAAAAAAAGCTGAAGGGAAGAGGCAGGTAGCTGTCAGCCTTATACCTTTCTGATTTCATATGAGCTTTCCAAAACTGAGAATGATGAACGATTTATTTAAATGAGTTTAATTTTTTATTTAGATAAGGGCATGCTCCAAATTAAAAAAAAAATAGACTAAAACATACTTCCTGTAGCTTTCTTTGCTTCAGTGGAGACAGAACATGACTCTGAAATAAAATGGCCTCTCACTTGTCTCATTCAACTGAACAGGAGACTTTGCCTCTCTCCTCGCTTCTTCCCCTGACCCCGGAGCTCTTTTTTTTTTTTTTTTTTTTTTTATTGTTTATTTTTTTTTTTTCTTTTTTCTTTTTTTCTCTTTCTTTATTTTTATTAATTACAGTTTATTCACTTTGTATCCCCCCTGCACCTCCCTCTCTCCTCCCCTCCCAATCCCACACTCTCTCTTCCCCACCCGTGTCCCTCTCCCAGTCCACTGATAGGGGAGGTCCTCTTCCCCTTCCCTCTGATCCTAGTCTATCAGGTCTCATCAGGACCCCTGACCTCTTAAAAGACATACAAGGAGACATCTAGGAAGTGTGTGGCGGTGTGTATAGACTTGCTGCTTAAGTGGCACGCTTCCTAGCCTTGGTATCACCACCTAGCTGGTGAAACCACATGCAGGTTTTGTTTGGGCCTGGGTTTCTAAGTGGCTGACCTGAGTCCCTTATGCCTCATACTTACAGAGAAGGGTAACACCCTTATGTATTCAATTCACAGTTTAAAAAACTTCTTTTTCAATAAATGTATAGAGGTAACAAATACTCAACATGGTTTTTATTTAGGTGTTTGCCTGAAGTTGACAGTAGACTAGAAAGGATGGAACTACAGGTCGAGCTATGCCATGTTTCTGGGCTTCGGAGTCTAAGAGTAATTGAGTTTGTGAAAAATTGCTAGAAAAGAAAAAAAAAACGGCTACATTTTAAACGGTCAAAATGATTCTCTTCAAAACATTACTTCGTGAACATATGCAATAAACATACATATACACACTCGATGAAAACACAGATAAACCATGAAACAATGTGTTGGGCACATTATATAAAGCCTTTCGCTCAAATATAAACAAATTCGGCTATTAGAAACGAAGGTGCATGAAGTCGAGGAACAGAAGCGTGAAGCTCTCGGGCCTTTCAGGTAGGACAGCAGTGAATGAGGTAAACTTTAAAATGTTCTGAGCACCTGCACGGTGAGTTCTGGGAGCCACACAGGAGCTGTAGTACTTTCTGCACTGTGCTCTAAGGATGGATTCCCAGCTTCGGTGCTCCAAACAGCTTGATGTAATATATAGGACAGGTCTACATGTCCTAAATTGACAGCCAAAAACCCTCTTGAGTGTGATCTCACCAATATCAAAACATTGGGAAGAGTATATTGACGTAATGCTGATAATCATGCAAATAAAAACAGCTCTCTTGGAACAAAATATTTACCTGACATTTCTGTGCAGATCATAAAAGGTGAAATTTCTAGCACCTCATTTTTCCTCATCCATACTAATCTCAGTACACTCATTGAGCCTTAAAATAACATTAGGTATATTAAAAAACAAACAAACAAACAAACAAACAAACAATCTGGCCACGTTTCCAAAATAGTAACTGCACATGACACCATAAACAATCACCTGGTCTTGCTAGGCTAAAAAAAATCCATGCGCTTTGTATATTGATCATTTCTGCAAAAACCTCCACACGAAAGTCCTTCAAAGAAATCCTCAAACAAATGCACAAATGTCCTCAGAGGCCTTTTCTCTAAAGACAAAGGCAGAATCCCATTGTTGGGAAAAGTCAACCTTATTATCGCATTTCCAATAGTACCATTCATCTTTCAGCCGGAGGGGCTGACCGCTACATCAGTGGCGTGGCATTTGTAAAGCAACAGATTCTCAATATATTATCTTAAGAATCAGGCAGGCGAGTCTCCCAGTCATGCATGATTTTTTTTTTTTCTTTTTCCTGCTCCAATCCACCACCACAGAAAGAAACTTGTCTCACTTAAGCAGTTAAGGCAACCTAAAAAACAGTATCCCAGCGCTGTGGGGCTGGCTGCGCCGCTGTGTCCCTCTTACCATAAATGAGCAGTTGACTCATTAACAACAATTTCCCTTAAAAAGAAGTGATCTCTTATCAGTGAGCCCCTCGCCACCATGCACACATCCCAAAGGCTGCAGATATCTCAGCACCGGCCGCCGGCAGCCAGCTTTCCCACACAGAGTCCAGATGGACCGTACCAGAAGCCAATTCAGCGTTAATAACTACCTACTCCGCGCAGTGGAGAAGCCTTACGTGGCACAACGGGCTAGGAAACAGGAAAAAAAAATAGACAACCAAATTCTCCAAAAGCACGGAAAGCAAGGAACAGGAAAGGAAGCATGAATTATATTTCCTAGACTTCTACGGAGGGAGAAGGGGAGGGGAAAAAAAGGAAAGGAAAAAGAAGAAGAAGAAAGAACCCTTCATAAACACAGGGGGAAATGAAGGGGGGTGGGGGTAAAAACAGATGCTGCCCGGAAAAAAGTGACAAAATATTACCTCATTATTTAATAAAGCAGCATTAAGCGTCCTGCTGATTTCAAACATCTTGCCACAGATTTTGTTTTAAGAGAAACAGATAGAATCCTTTGCAAAGCACTCCGTCTGCAAAGGGTTCTTCAATTTTCTTGCGCACCACGGAACAGTCAATATATTATTTCCCCAGAGTTCGCACATTAAAACCTCTAGTCAGTGAGCTGAATTTTCCCCTTATCTCACACACAGTAGCTTCCTGTTATATGCAAGAGCAGCCTGCCCCAAACATGGCTGGTGTTTAAAGTACTCTTTAAAGTAACAGTTCACTGTATAGCCACCAGGTGGGTAGAGTACACAGATTGAAATGAAGCATCTTAAAAGGTGTGTGTGTGTGTGTGTGTGTGTGTGTGTGTGTGTGTGTGTGTGTGTAACACCAGCATCCCAACAGGCAAGATTGTCTCTTACTGTATTATGTCTAAGTAAATAAATTTTTTTCCTCTTGACTTAATGCAAGGAGACAAAACAGAGCAAAACAAAATACTGCTAACCAGTTCTAATAAGAACTTGAAGAGTGAAACACAAAAAAGACTTGTTTCATTCTGCAAATGATGAATGAGAAAAATATAATTAACTCTGAGAAAGGGAGAACTTTAAAAAACTCCGTGAAAATAGTCACACAGGATGAGCACTGGATTTCGATGTGTGTATGGTATGTGGATAAAATACAAATAATTGGAGACAGAGCTAAAGGTGTAACTTTTCTTCTGATGTTATTTGACATGTGACAAAAGCAAAGGGCAAAAGCAAAATTAGGCATGTCTTCTAACTAACACAATCGTCTCTCCAGTTATAAACAACCACAGGCTCCAACCAGACATGTGTCTCTTCCCGGAGCTGCTCTTTTCCCTCAAGATCTGCCTTGAAGAGGAACATTTTTTGCTGGACATGATTTTGGAGGTATACCTAACTGGCGTCTCCTTTGTATTACTCTGTTCCAATTAATCTGATCTTCTGCCAAGAATAAAGAGAATGCCCCAAACTGAAACCTCCAAGAGAGGGAGAAGGGGGTAGCGCA